GACACTACATACTGATATACACCTGAACATCTGCAGGAGAGGACTCTTTAAAGTAGAGACACTACATACTGATATACACCTGAACATCAGCAGGAGAGGACTCTTTAAAGCAGAGACACTACATACTGATATACAGCTGAACATCAGCAGGAGAGGACTCTTTAAAGTAGAGACACTACATACTGATATACAGCTGAACATCAGCAGGAGAGGACTCTTTAAAGTACAGACACTACATACTGATATACACCTGAACATCAGCAGGAGAGGACTCTTTAAAGTAGAGACACTACATACTGATATACACCTGAACATCAGCAGGAGAGGACTCTTTAAAGTAGAGACACTACATACTGATATACACCTGAACATCAGCAGGAGAGGACTCTTTAAAGTAGAGACACTACATACTGATATACACCTGAACATCTGCAGGAGAGGACTCTTTAAAGTAGAGACACTACATACTGATATACACCTGAACATCTGCAGGAGAGGACTCTTTAAAGTAGAGACACTACATACTGATATACACCTGAACATCAGCAGGAGAGGACTCTTTAAAGCAGAGACACTACATACTGATATACAGCTGAACATCAGCAGGAGAGGACTCTTTAAAGTAGAGACACTACATACTGATATACAGCTGAACATCAGCAGGAGAGGACTCTTTAAAGTACAGACACTACATACTGATATACACCTGAACATCAGCAGGAGAGGACTCTTTAAAGTAGAGACACTACATACTGATATACACCTGAATATCAGCAGGAGAGGACTCTTTAAAGTAGAGACACTACATACTGATATACACCTGAACATCAGCAGGAGAGGACTCTTTAAAGTAGAGACACTACATACTGATATACACCTGAACATCTGCAGGAGAGGACTCTTTAAAGTAGAGACACTACATACTGATATACACCTGAACATCTGCAGGAGAGGACTCTTTAAAGTAGAGACACTACATACTGATATACACCTGAACATCAGCAGGAGAGGACTCTTTAAAGCAGAGACACTACATACTGATATACACCTGAACATCAGCAGGAGAGGACTCTTTAAAGTAGAGACACTACATACTGATATACACCTGAACATCAGCAGGAGAGGACTCTTTAAAGTAGAGACACTACATACTGATATACAGCTGAACATCAGCAGGAGAGGACTCTTTAAAGTACAGACACTACATACTGATATACAGCTGAACATCAGCAGGAGAGGACTCTTTAAAGTACAGACACTACATACTGATATACAGCTGAACATCAGCAGGAGAGGACTCTTTAAAGTACAGACACTACATACTGATATACACCTGAACATCAGCAGGAGAGGACTCTTTAAAGTAGAGACACTACATACTGATATACAGCTGAACATCAGCAGGAGAGGACTCTTTAAAGTAGAGACACTACATACTGATATACACCTGAACATCAGCAGGAGAGGACTCTTTAAAGTAGAGACACTACATACTGATATACACCTGAACATCAGCAGGAGAGGACTCTTTAAAGCAGAGACACTACATTCTGATATACACCTGAACATCAGCAGGAGAGGACTCTTAAAGCAGAGACACTACATACTGATATACACCTGAACATCAGCAGGAGAGGACTCTTTAAAGTAGAGACACTACATACTGATATACACCTGAACATCAGCTGGAGAGGACTCTTTAAAGTAGAGACACTACATACTGATATACAGCTGAACATCAGCAGGAGAGGACTCTTTAAAGTACAGACACTACATACTGATATACAGCTGAACATCAGCAGGAGAGGACTCTTTAAAGTACAGACACTACATACTGATATACAGCTGAACATCAGCAGGAGAGGACTCTTTAAAGTACAGACACTACATACTGATATACACCTGAACATCAGCAGGAGAGGACTCTTTAAAGTAGAGACACTACATACTGATATACAGCTGAACATCAGCAGGAGAGGACTCTTTAAAGTAGAGACACTACATACTGATATACACCTGAACATCAGCAGGAGAGGACTCTTTAAAGTAGAGACACTACATACTGATATACACCTGAACATCAGCAGGAGAGGACTCTTTAAAGCAGAGACACTACATTCTGATATACACCTGAACATCAGCAGGAGAGGACTCTTTAAAGCAGAGACACTACATACTGATATACACCTGAACATCAGCAGGAGAGGACTCTTTAAAGTAGAGACACTACATACTGATATACACCTGAACATCAGCTGGAGAGGACTCTTTAAAGTAGAGACACTACATACTGATATACACCTGAACATCAGCAGGAGAGGACTCTTTAAAGTAGAGACACTACATACTGATATACACCTGAACATCAGCAGGAGAGGACTCTTTAAAGTAGAGACACTACATACTGATATACACCTGAACATCAGCAGGAGAGGACTCTTTAAAGTAGAGACACTACATACTGATATACACCTGAACATCAGCAGGAGAGGACTCTTTAAAGTAGAGACACTACATACTGATATACACCTGAACATCAGCAGGAGAGGACTCTTTAAAGTAGAGACACTACATACTGATATACACCTGAACATCAGCTGGAGAGGACTCTTTAAAGTAGAGACACTACATTCTGATATACACCTGAACATCAGCAGGAGAGGACTCTTTAAAGTAGAGACACTACATACTGATATACACCTGAACATCAGCTGGAGAGGACTCTTTAAAGTAGAGACACTACATTCTGATATACACCTGAACATCAGCAGAAGAGAACTCTTTAAAGTAGATACACTACATACTGATATACACCTGAACATCAGCAGGAGAGGATTCTTTAAAGTACAGACACTACATACTGATATACACCTGAACATCAGCAGAAGAGAACTCTTTAAAGTAGATACACTACATACTGATATACAGCTGAACATCAGCAGGAGAGGATTCTTTAAAGTAGAGACACTACATACTGATATACACCTGAACATCAGCAGGAGAGGACTCTTTAAAGTAGAGACACTACATACTGATATACACCTGAACATCAGCAGGAGAGGACTCTTTAAAGTAGAGACACTACATACTGATATACAGCTGAACATCAGCAGGAGAGGATTCTTTAAAGTACAGACACTACATACTGATATACACCTGAACATCAGCAGGAGAGGACTCTTTAAAGTAGAGACACTACATACTGATATACACCTGAACATCAGCTGGAGAGGACTCTTTAAAGTAGAGACACTACATTCTGATATACACCTGAACATCAGCAGGAGAGGACTCTTTAAAGTAGAGACACTACATACTGATATACAGCTGAACATCAGCAGGAGAGGACTCTTTAAAGTAGAGACACTACATACTGATATACACCTGAACATCAGCAGGAGAGGACTCTTTAAAGCAGAGACACTACATTCTGATATACACCTGAACATCAGCAGGAGAGGACTCTTTAAAGTACAGACACTACATACTGATATACAGCTGAACATCAGCAGGAGAGGACTCTTTAAAGTACAGACACTACATACTGATATACACCTGAACATCAGCAGGAGAGGACTCTTTAAAGTAGAGACACTACATACTGATATACACCTGAACATCAGCAGGAGAGGACTCTTTAAAGTAGAGACACTACATACTGATATACACCTGAACATCAGCAGGAGAGGACTCTTTAAAGCAGAGACACTACATTCTGATATACACCTGAACATCAGCAGGAGAGGACTCTTTAAAGCAGAGACACTACATACTGATATACAGCTGAACATCAGCAGGAGAGGACTCTTTAAAGTAGAGACACTACATACTGATATACACCTGAACATCAGCAGGAGAGGACTCTTTAAAGTAGAGACACTACATACTGATATACACCTGAACATCAGCAGGAGAGGACTCTTTAAAGCAGAGACACTACATTCTGATATACACCTGAACATCAGCAGGAGAGGACTCTTTAAAGTAGAGACACTACATACTGATATACACCTGATCATCAGCAGGAGAGGACTCTTTAAAGTAGAGACACTACATACTGATATACACCTGAACATCAGCTGGAGAGGACTCTTTAAAGTAGAGACACTACATACTGATATACACCTGAACATCAGCAGGAGAGGACTCTTTAAAGTAGAGACACTACATACTGATATACACCTGAACATCAGCAGGAGAGGACTCTTTAAAGTAGAGACACTACATACTGATATACACCTGAACATCAGCAGGAGAGGACTCTTTAAAGTAGAGACACTACATACTGATATACACCTGAACATCAGCAGGAGAGGACTCTTTAAAGTAGAGACACTACATACTGATATACACCTGAACATCAGCAGGAGAGGACTCTTTAAAGTAGAGACACTACATACTGATATACACCTGAACATCAGCAGGAGAGGACTCTTTAAAGTAGAGACACTACATACTGATATACACCTGAACATCAGCAGGAGAGGACTCTTTAAAGTAGAGACACTACATACTGATATACACCTGAACATCAGCAGGAGAGGACTCTTTAAAGTAGAGACACTACATACTGATATACACCTGAACATCAGCAGGAGAGGACTCTTTAAAGTAGAGACACTACATACTGATATACACCTGAACATCAGCAGGAGAGGACTCTTTAAAGTAGAGACACTACATACTGATATACACCTGAACATCAGCAGGAGAGGACTCTTTAAAGTAGAGACACTACATACTGATATACACCTGAACATCAGCAGGAGAGGACTCTTTAAAGTAGAGACACTACATACTGATATACACCTGAACATCAGCAGGAGAGGACTCTTTAAAGTAGAGACACTACATACTGATATACACCTGAACATCAGCAGGAGAGGACTCTTTAAAGTAGAGACACTACATACTGATATACACCTGAACATCAGCAGGAGAGGACTCTTTAAAGTAGAGACACTACATACTGATATATATGATATATATGAGTCGTTGAATCTTTAAAAAACATTTTCTCCCTCCGCCTCGGACTATTTCTCCAGTTATTTTTCTTTTTCTTGCTGCACAAACAGAAAGTAACAGCTCCACAATCACCCAGAAAACCCGGACTGGATCAACAGAAAACCCGGACTGGAAGGACTGACTACCGTGAGTAAGAGGATAGATTAGATCAACTTTATTGATCCCTATTTGGGACATGTTACAGTCACAGCAGCATAGATAAGACATTACACATGAATTATAGGTAAATACAATACAATTTAAGATTTAAGATTCAGAATCAGTGCATTACAAGGTGGCATCCTTACACACCTCTTTTTTTTGGACTGTTTGTTAATTCAATATTCTGAAAGAAAGCCGAAGCGGTCTTTGAGATGGATTTTGAGGGAGATTCCAAAATTTACCTTTTTGATTTTCTTTTATACAGATATTGGTTGTGTGGTTATCTTCTTATCTTTGCATTGAAAGTGGTTCAATGTGTTGGGACTTACTTTACCTTTGACTTAACATATACACAACAATATCCAAATCGCAGGACATTTGTTGAAGCCAGAATATCCGTTAACATCTCGGAGTGGAGCTGCAGAAAACCAGCACAAACCGTTTCCTTTCTCTGGTGTTTCAGATGTCGGAAATCTCAGAGGAAGATTGGAAGAGAGATCTGACCATCATCCTGGAGGATCTGTCTTCAGCACAGTTCATAAAAATGAAGGAATGTTTGAGGGGTTTCCTTCAGGTTCTGAAGGACAGCCGGTCCAGAGAAGAGATGCCTGGGTCACGATCATTGAGTTCTACGGGAAAGAAAAGTCGATCCTCGAGATGGAGAGAGTGATGGAAGAGATACCGAAGAGAAAATCTTTAGTTCAGCATCTGCTGAAACCCTACGTTCAGAAAGTGAGGAGCAAACCGGAGAAACAGCAGCATGGTGAGGAAATCCACTAACAGAATTCATCCCACGCCTATGTTCAGTTAAGCATGCTCAATAACACTTTACTCAAGTGTGGGATTATACTTCAAAGATGTGTTTCAAAGCCAAGTTCTTAAAAAAGCTACTACCATGATGTTGTGACTTTGGATTGGATATAGAGAGCACAAGATGAACATGATTAACTCTACTGTCAACCAATCCAAATGATCCAGAGTCCAACACATCTTCCAAATGGAGCAAACCTGTATCAGAATCAGTCCAGAGATATGGCCGCTTTCTGGTTACAATCTGACGTATTTGTAATCTGCCATTTTTTAGATATTGTCTGCATATGCTAGTAAATGCAACTTGTGCTAATTGTGTAACTTCTGCAGGTTAGCATCCGGCAGTTTGTATGTGGACCCTACTCTACATTTCTAACATAAGACTTTGGGGTCTCAACATGTCCGGGTTCACAACAGGACTCTATGAGCTGCTACATAATAAACATAGGTGTAGAACAATCATGTTCTGCTGAGTAAATCATGTTTTAAATGTTCCAGAGAAGAAGAGGAGACGTGAGGAGGAGCCGGAGGAAGGAACCAGTCCTGCAGCAGGTAGGTGAAGTGTTGGTAGATTGGGGCCAATCACATCAAGTGCATCGTCCGTTGTTTAAAACATTAGGTTCAGTTCTGTTAGGTGGGCTGGTTGTCTTAACGAGACGTATTTTAAGCTGAAAGTCTGATTGATCACGAGACCCTGAGTGATGTTTGTTTCTCCTGTTAAAGATCAGCTGGAGGGAAGCCAACCTGTCAAGGTAAGAGTTGGAGAGGAAGAGGCTTGAGACGTTGTGGCACCTGTCGGCCACCGCAGTTACCCAACTCACAACATTCATCATTAAAGAGTCACGGCCGTAAACCTTTGTGTGATATAAAGTAAACATATTTCTTCCTGCCCTGTTAGAAACCGAAGACTCGTGACTCCCAGGATGGAAAAGCTCCATGGGTAAATCTTATTTCTTAATTATCACTTGCAGCTTTGAGACATTTACTTTCTCCAAGCTGAGTTCATGGAGAGGCTTTTCTTTGTGTGCAGAGGAAATCCATCTTTGATCTAAAATCCAGTGGAATTCTTGAGACGGAAGAGATTGTTGGGAAAGTTGTTAAAAAATCCGAGCTGCTCACATCCACGATAAAGACCTTTTATTTTTTTCTGGGCGTCGCCGACGAGTCGGCCAGCGTCAAACTGATGGTGTGCGGAAAAGATCACCATCGAAAAGTCAAAGAGGGGAGCTCCTACATCTTCAGGAATCTAACACAAGATGGAATATATGTGAAGGTCAACGCATCGAGCAAAGTGTCAGAAACAAAACCTGTCATCGTCCCGGAGGAGTTCGAGAGAGAAGCTGAGAGACTGGTTTATCCTGAGAGTCCGCTTACCTCCATTAAAGACATCAAATCATCTCGTCCCCAGACACACGTGAGCGTCAAAGGAACCGTCACCGAGGTGAGTTCAAACTGCAGACCTACTTTACTCTCAAAGAGCCTGGTTACGATGATAATGCATTCAAAATGATCCGCTTCGCCTCGGGCCGAACCACGCCCCTTAGCTGTGATATAATGAGCATATACCACGGCCTGTCGTGAGCTATTGCTTAAATATATATATACAGTGGGGCAAAAAAGTATTTAGTCAGCCACCAGTTGTGCAAGTTCTCCCACTTAAAAAGATGAGAGGCCTGTAATGTTCATCCTAGGTACACCTCAACTATGAGAGACAGGATGGGGGGAAGAATCCAGGAAATCACATTGTCTGATTTTATATATATATAAATATTTATATATATTTATAAGGCAGTTTGTTTTGAAATGTTGTGAAATATAAATCATTGTTGTTTCTCTGCTGCTTTTTTCAGATCTATCCCGTCAACAAAGTGAAGGTGAAACACAAGGAGAAGAAGACGAATCAGCGAAGCTTCAAACTGAGTCAGGAAGATGAGGAAATCAGCGTCACCATGTGGGACGAGGCCACCAAGCTGATTAAATACCTTTCAGTCGGACACGTCTTTCTTCTTGAATACATGAAGCCCAATGAGTACCGTGAGAAAGTGTCTCTCAACTCATCTAAGTTCACCAAAATCACCAAGGTACCTGCAGCCTCCAGTCGGACATGTTGTCTCTGTGATGACAGCTTTCCTCAACATTTCTAATTCTGACTTTTTCCTCAAAATTCTGATTTTTTCAGACTAATAATGATTCAAACTCAAACTAAAAGGTGATGTTGCTGAAACAAGGCCAACCTGAAAAGTAGTTTAAACTGATGTTTCCTGGCGGCTTGTTCCACAGAAGACATCATATGGAAGCTAAATAGCCCCCAAAGCAAAATGCTCCTCACCTTAATCTGAAGACTTTACCTGATGTTTTCTCACGTCCTGAACATTGACCGTTAACGTGTCTTCATGCAGGTTCAAAGTGTCGGCATCCGGAAAGTGACTCGAGATTAGAGGGATCAAGGAAGCCACGCTGAAGGAGACTCACCTGGAGGTGGAATTAGACGCAAAGCTGCGCACGCTCATCGTGGCGTCTCGACTTCTGGCGAAAACGCTCGACTTCCAGCTGAAGACAGGCTTTGGTGATGATCTCCTTGAAAGAATACCGCTCTCAGTGGAGGCTGAAATACAAGGAAACAGAATCATCAACATGGCAGACCCTGAGAACATCTGATGGGGAGTTCTGCAAATTAATGAAAAGCTCGAAATGTTGAACTTTTTCTAAAAATTCTGACTTTTTTCTCAAAATCTCAAAATTCTGACTTTAAAAAAAACTCAATCTTAATTTAATAATTGATCTCCCTGTTTTTTATAGCTTGTGTTTGAAGTTATTAGTTTAATAAACTTCACATTAATAAAGAACCTGGTGTTATTGTTGTGTTTATGAATCGGTCAACGTTCAGCGATCCAGAATCAGAAAAACAACGTAAACTAACAATAATTATCATGTATTTAAAATGTGTTTTTACATGTATTTATTTGTCATTTACATATTTTTTTAAATGTATTATAACGTAATAACTAATTAAAACGTTCCCCTATTCAATGTTCCCCCAGTCATTCATTTTTTTTACTTTAGTATTTATGGTTGATTTATTATTCATAAACAAAAACACCAAGCCTGAAGCTGATAATACAAAATAAAATGCCATTCAATTTAACAAAAATTATAAGAAAATAAATATTCCATCATAATCTTTAATCATTTCCCTTTATTTAACTCTTATTTAACATGTATTTATTTTTATATAAGACACACTTTTGTAATATGTTAATGAGATCCTGTTCTCAATAAATGAAACTTAAGGAAGGTTTATTTTGGGCCAAACCATTCTTCACTGGAGGGTGAAGTCCAAACAGCTTCAGACTTCCCGCTCCTCTGACTTCCTCTTTATAAATCTGATTAAAACATAAACCCGGCTGAGGTTCAAGGAAGAGACGCAGTAAGTTCACTCTCAGCTTGTTCAGAACATCTATCTGTGAGATACATGTCATTATACATTTACTTAAGGGTTACTTAAGGCTTAACTTAAGGGCTACTTTAAGGGTTACTTTAAGGGTTACTATAGCCCGCAGCGAGGGCACAAGTCTGATCATTGAGAAAGAAGCAAAGAGAACTGCAAACAAAAAGATATGTTATAAAAGACGAATAGTTTACATGATTACACAAATTATTTATTTGCAAGTTATAGCTTTACGTTTGAGATGAGGTTTCTGTAGCTTGACTGAGTTTTCTTTTCTCTTAAACTCTTAGTTTTGCTTGATCTTAACGGCACAACCTGATCCCATACGTCGGAGCTCCTTACAAAATATATATTATATGTCACGTTGCTCTATTCTAATATTCTCAATGTACAGCGTTTGGTAATGACAGCGTGCTCCTTCTGCAAGCGAGTGCTTGCAGGATCTGGAAATCCCACGTTCAGAGAGTATTGCTGACTTCTGATCACTTCCCTGAGAGAAATGTCTCCCGACTTCAAAACGTTGGCTGCGCAGCGCGGGCTCAGCCTTCAGAACAATGTCAAAACGAGCCATGAGAAGTCGTCCGAGGCAAAGACGCAAAACGTAACTGTCTATCGCCTCTGCAACGATCTCTATCGATGCGTTTGATTACGCATCGAGAGAGCACGCAGTTTATGTCCATGCGGACCAGGAGGAAGGCTTGAGTTCAGGCTGGGCTACATCAGGTCAATTCAGTTCATTTATTGTAAATGGTTTGTTCATATTTTGACAGAGGCGGCTGGTGGATTGTTTTCTAGGTCGGGCTGTGCCACGTGCAATCAATTTCAGCCAGGGGCGGCGGGTGCTGTAGGCTCGGGAAGGCTAAGCCCTCCCAAATATTTGTGTCATCCTGGTAAAATAAAAATATAATATTTGTGTCTTTGACATTAGCGCTGCTATGCAGCCACCTGTGCCCTGTACCACGAAGCCAGTTCAACAGACCCTGGATATGCTTGAGTTATCTTAACTAACCCTAACAAACGCGATCTCGCTAAACGGTCCTACGGCGCTGGTTATCAACTGGGTAAATCAAGCCAGGGTTTCTCTCTCCAGCTGAGAACGCGTTCACGTGAAAGGGGCGGGGTTAGCTACGTTTGACCAATCACAAACAGGGACAAGTGTACTGACAGCGCAGCGTCATACTTCATTAATGAAAAGTAAACTAATATTAGACAAATATGAACTTTAAACATCCATGACTTAAACATATAATCCAGGATACAAGCCACATAGTTGCACCTGCAAGGAGAATACAGAACAACTGGTTAAAAAATAACTACCAAGTGTTTCAAAGCGTACAGGTTTATGATATCACTGCCCCGTCTAAGACACGAGGGGATCTGACTTTAATTACATTTGACTCCAGTGTTTCCTCAACATAATGTGTTGCTTAAAATAATACTTCTGCATGCAGTCTGTGACGCTGTGAGTGTTGCACGGCCAGATACGGCTCAGCTGACTCAGATCAGGAGATATATGATACATTATGATATTATATCGATGTACTGATTGATGATGTGATATGAATGATAAGTTCGACACGTCGGCGTCTTCTCTGCATACGGCAGTTTAAACTCTATTTCCTTTATCCTGTAATATGACTTGAGAGATTTAAACTCCGCACACTGAGCTCTGATTGGTCAGCAGGCGGTGCTTTCACTGAGTTGATCTCTTTTCTATAGACGCCGGAGGCGAGCAGCGTCAGGTAAAAAAAAGTTATTTAGCCTTCAGTGTTAATTTACCAGTCTTTCATTTTAATGCCTTCATTAACTATTCAAGCATTTGAGACTGAGGACTACAAACACTTTAAAACAATGGCATTAGCAATACTTGCATACATATGTATGTATATATAATGTATAGGCCTATCATTTATATATATGTATGGAAATATATATATATATATATATATATGATATATGTAATGTATGTATATATATATATATATGGAAATATATATATATATATATAATAAATGTATGTATATGTAAGCTAACTCAAAAGCCCCACAAAACTTCATTATTTTGGATAAAATATGCCTGTTTTTATCCACCTCCTCATTGTGTTCCTAACCTCCTGTGGGCGTCGTCCAGCTGCGTAGCAGTTGCTTACTTGGGGTGATACAATAATCGCCCTTTTCGTATTAGTTTTGAGGACGCTGATTGGCTACATTTCATGACACATCTTGAATCAGCGATTGGCTAACCTGCTCCAGAGACTCCGTGGGGCTCCATCGCCCCAGAGCTGAACTTCAGTCATACAGTGAACTAGGAAAAGCATGTATTTTGCGCAAATTATTTAAAAATCATATTTTCCACATACAGTGGGGCAAAAAAGTATAAATCCTACAATGTTATTTCCTGGATTATTTCCCCCATCCTGTCTCTCATAGTTGAAGTGTACCTAGGATGACAATTACAGGCCTCTCATCTTTTTAAGTGGGAGAACTTGCACAATTAGTGGCTGACTAAATACTTTTTTGCCCCACTGTATTTCTGGGTGCATTCCATATTTTAAACACAAATGTTGACACTTTATATAATTAATTAGTATTATTATTAATATTAGTATTATTTTTTTTAATAATGTTTTTGTGTGTGGTTAAGGGAGGGTGGCCCTCTATCGCCCCCTACTGGCCAGACGCCACTGTATTTTTATTTGCCTGTTTAGGCACAATGGCTGCTAAAAAAAAAAATCATTCATCTTCATGTTGACATGAAAAGTGACCGCACTTCGGTGTCTCTGTTCATCTTTTTTCTCTCCATGCCCTTAAATGTTCTGTGTATGAATTGTTTAAAAAAATGAATGAATGAATGAACATTAGCGTCTGCTTAGTACCCAAACATTAAATATGTCTCATCATTTAAACATGAAAAGTAAAATGACGGGTAATAATGGATTATATCGGAAATGTTAGGATCCTGTCCGTCAAAATGACGAACAACGAAAAAGTCCAACACCACCACTGCTGTTGGTGTCACTGTTTAGCAGAGGGAAGACAGCACTAACAGACTGTTACCGCCCACCTCCTCCTGTTTGTGCTCAGATGGACCTGAAGGCGTTGGAGACGAAGTGGAGGACGGCGCTGAGCTCCATCCTGGACGAGCTGACGGAGAACGAGTTCCGGAAACTTCTGTTTAACCTGGAGAAGATCCCTCAGGGGAAGAAGGAGGGGCGGCCGCGGGGCGACATGCCCAGCGTCATCATCCAGTACTACAGCACCGAGATATCCATCGCACTCATCGACAAGCTGATGAAGAACCTGCCCAGGCTGGACGCCGCCGTGCAGCAGCCGCTCAGAGGCATCAAGGACGAGCTGAAGAAACTCCAGGAGAAAAGCAAAGGTCAGCTCAGCGGGGGTCGTGTTGGGCGAGAGCCAGACCTCCTTCTCAAAACGTTTTATATAACTCTTTAACTTATTTCGTAGCAGTACGAACTGAAACAGGATCAGAAGAAGTCGCTGCAAGCAGACAAAGTTCGAAAATAACTTATAAGACAGAAAACAGAACCCGAGCAGACCCCTGGAAACTCTGTTAAACAAACGTTGCATTTTGTATATTTCTAAATGTGTGGTGAAGGCCGATGAACCTCCTCTCTGATCCTTCGTACACATAACGTTTCCGTACACGTTTTTGTACCCGATTTTTTTACTTGTTCCCGGAAATGTTTCAGTACACGTTTCCGTACCGGATTCCGTGCACGTTTTCCAAACATGTTTCAGTGCACTTTTCCGTTTCCATAAAGTTTCCGGACACTTTTCCTTCAAGGGGACCTATCATGCAGAATGCACTTTTGTACGTCTTGTATACATGAAGATGTGTCCCCGGTGTGTCAGGGAACTCACCAAGTGTCAGAAAATACAACCCTCTCTCTTTTCCTCCGAACCCAAATCTCTAAAAACGGGGCTGCAGTGGATCCGATACAGACTGATCCAGATTTGAAATATCTCTGACGTCAGAAACGAGGAGCTCCGCCTATATGGGCAACTCTCCACCAATTAGGGGAATGAGAGGTTGGGCCACGGCCGGCCATTGCCGCTCGAAAGCGCTGGAGACGCTGTAGTACATATGCCAGGCCTGTAAATGGCGCTTATTAGGATAAGGTTCAAATGGGTACTTTAATTAAGTGGCGCGGTAATAAAACAAACAGAAGGTAGACGGGGAGAGAGAAGCTGCAGCTCCCTCTCCCCGTCCGGGCCGTGGTTAAGAGACCACAACGCTCCGTCACCTAACTATATCTCATAATTTGGCTCCTCCTCTTCAGTGGCGGCTGTGGTGACGTAGGGGGTCCGCTCGCCTCGGTCTTCAATGTCCGACATCGCGTTAAACAGAGGATTTCGACATTTTACATTCATTGCTTACTTCCACGCGCCTTTTCTCCCCCTTATTTCTTTCATGACTTTTTATTTAATGCATTATAACGGCTGTAATAGTTACTTTAGTAATACTGGAAGTGCTTTACGGCAGTTATCATTTACGGTAGCCCCGGACGTCATAGCTACTAGGGCTGTGCGATTATGGCAAAAATCATAATCACGATTATTTGGGTCAATAATTGATATCACGATTATTTTGACGATTATTCATTGACCATTTATTGAACTTTAAAACAAATAATATTTTACCAATAAACAAGATCAACAAATATGTTGGAGCGCACTTCCAAAACCATACTAAACATATATTAATATGATAAATAAAAATAAATTAGACCAAAATAAATGAAATCAAATATGATGCAGTGCACTGTCACAACCTACTGAACACTCCTTAACATATAGCCAACATGTTGGTAAAACATATTCAACATATTCCACTCAGTTAAACGTTGAAGGCTGGCCAACCGTCATGGTCCAGAAGTAACAGGAAATAAATGTTGAACTACAATTTAAGACCAAATAAAATGTTTAGGCCACCATGGCAAATGCTGGTAGGGCTGCTCGTGAAACACCAGCCTGTTGACATGGTCTGGTTTCAGAGATGAGCGCAGGCAGGTGACGATAACCTGCACTGAAGACCCTCTCTGAAGAGGAACTTGTGACAGTGCTGCCACATATGACACAGGAAGAAAAGAAAAGACTCTGAACCCTTTCTTTGCCATTATATAAAAATAGTGTTGCTCCAAAAGTATAAATGAGGCTTACTAATAAGACAACTCAGATCTGAAGCTCACAGGAATCTGCTGCCAAAGTGCAATAAAAAAAGACAACATTAATAGAATCAAACCCTTTTTTTGTTGCATTTTATTAGAGTATAAAAATAAATGCCTTTAAAATAGGATGCAAGCAACACTAGTTTCTTAACCTGAATTGATAATAGACTATAATCAATTTAAACAGAACAGATCTTAATGTTTGTGTGAGCCTCTCCGCTCACACAGAGTTCAAATATGGACGGAAAGAGCAGGTTCGTGTAACACAGGCGTTTATTAGCTCCAAACAAAAGTATCCACGGGTCTCCAACGTTGCCCGTGTGGCAACCTTCACAGGTCCTTTTGCCACCTTCCAGGATCCTGCCTACTGCACACAGCCCAGAACCAGGTTACGACATGCTTTTATTCCGGCACTGATTACTTGATTCCGATCAGCTGTCTGGCCTCCGGCCGAGCACCTCCCTTCACTCCAGCAGCCGGCGCCCTAACCACACCCCGCTGCCACAGTTTGCATTCTTATATTTTGTACAATAATTATAATGAATAAGTTCAAACAAACTCAAACTTACAGCAGATTAATAACGGTATCTAACTTGAGTTTTTATTATATCAAAAACCTGTTGAAATGCTTCTGTTATTTTTACTGTCCCCAAAAAGCGTGTCGGCAGCCTCCAGGAATGCTTCTTTCACAACTTCGCCGTCTTTGAAAGACTTCATGTGTTTCTCAAGAACGTGACTGACACGATAAGATGCTCTGGTAGCAGCCTTGCTCTTGTTGTTGGGCCTGGTGGAAATGGACTGCTGTGCATTTAGCTGTCCTTTCAGGCCCCTCCCCTTTTGGGAGCGTAGGGCAGAATTAGGAGGGAATTCCGTCTCGTAGCGTTTGTGCACTGTTTTGAAATGCCGCTCCTAAATTACCCTTCTTCGATAAAGCCACGCTCGCATTGCAGATGAGACAGATGGACTTTGAATTGGAATAGATACAAAAATAATCATCCTCCCACTCGGAGTGAAAATTATATATTTTGGGCTTTTTTGCTTCTGCCATAATAGCGGTCTTGTGTGTGTGCGGACTGTCACTCCTGTTGACACGGACAATGTCAGCGAAATACTGCCCACTGCCCACCAGCCACGCCCCGACACATGGGGTCACGCCGGCCAATCACAAAACTTTGATGCGTTCAGGTGCATTATTCTGGCACAGGAAGATTATGTTATAGGACATTAATGATAACACAGAATATTGTTGTTCTATTTTTAGACACATCTCGCGATCGACTGGGAATCTCCCCGCGACCCTTCTTTTTAATGAGTTGCTGCTCTTTTTCTGACATCTTCGCTTGCGCTGATCACTCACAACACATGTCGCTCCCACGTGGCCGAGTGGGCTTTTAGGGAGGGGCGAAAGCGCACCCAGCAAAAATAATCGTATTTTGTCAATTATGCTGTTTTCATAATCGTCGCAAGCCATAATCGTAATCGCGATTAAAATACGATGAATTGCACAGCCCTAATATATAACGTTAGCTTAGCCAAGCTACATTTAGAAAACACGCATTTTAAAAGGGTTTTTCGCCTGCCGTCTGTCTGCAGACTTGTCAAAGCATTAATTCATGGTTTTTACTAACCGGTATCAGTATGTTGTTACTTCGGCATCATTTTGAAACGTGTATTACAATTAAAACACGGTCAAATATGTTCATCTTGTTGTAGTTGTAGCCCCCTTGCCAGCGATTCTCTCTCTAGTTTAGCATACTCAGCCCGACTCAGCCTGGTTGTTCCTGGCCCTAGAACCACGATTTTATGGGGCCAGAAAAACTGTGAATTAGGACCCGCTAGCCGGTACTAGGCCAAGCGGAAACGCAACCAAAAACGGGTCCCGCACGGCTCGGCACGCTTAAAGCGAGCTCCGCGCTGCACTGGAAACGCGCCATTACATCACCAGAAGTCCTAATTTAAGGGGTCATTTCTCCCACCAAAAATATTTTCCACCAGCCGCCACTGCTGCTAATGTACAGGAGGAAGAGAGATACACTGTCTGTCTAGTTGGCTTACATAACAGTTAAAGTTTACAGCCTAAAAAACATGGAGCATTTTTTCCCCTTTTATTCATTTTGATGTCAATTTGCACATTTCATGGTGACGCTCAGCCTCTCCCCTTAACTCCTAACAATCATCGTCATGGTGACGCTCAGCCTCTCCCCTTAACTCCTAACAGTCATCATCATGGTGATGCTCAGCCTTTCCCCTTAACTCCTAACAGTCATCGTCATGGTGACGCTCAGCCTCTCCCCTTAACTCCTAGCAGTCATCATCATGGTGACGCTCAGCCTCTCCCCTTAACTCCTAACAGTCATCATCATGGTGACGCTCAGCCTCTCCCCTTAACTCCTAGCAGTCATCATCATGGTGACGCTCAGCCTCTCCCCTTAACTCCTAACAGTCATCGTCATGGTGACGCTCAGCCTCTCCCCTTAACTCCTAACAATCATCGTCATGGTGACGCTCAGCCTCTCCCCTTAACTCCTAGCAGTCATCATCATGGTGACGCTCAGCCTCTCCCCTTAACTCCTAACAGTCATCATCATGGTGACGCTCAGCCTCTCCCCTTAACTCCTAACAGTCATCATCATGGTGACGCTCAGCCTCTCCCCTTAACTCCTAACAGTCATCATCATGGTGATGCTCAGCCTCTCCCCTTAACTCCTAACAGTCATCATCATGGTGACGCTCAGCCTCTCCCCTTAACTCCTAACAGTCATCATCATGGTGACGCTCAGCCTCTCCCCTTAACTCCTAACAGTCATCATCATGGTGACGCTCAGCCTCTCCCCTTAACTCCTAACAGTCATCATCATGGTGACGCTCAGCCTCTCCCCTTAACTCCTAACAGTCATCATGGTGACGCTCAGCCTCTCCCCTTAACTCCTAACAGTCATCATCATGGTGATGCTCAGTCTCTCCCCTTAACTCCTAACAGTCATCATCATGGTGACGCTCAGCCTCTCCCCTTAACTCCTAACAGTCATCATCATGGTGACGCTCAGCCTCTCCCCTTAACTCCTAACAGTCATCATCATGGTGACGCTCAGCCTCTCCCCTTAACTCCTAACAGTCATCATCATGGTGACGCTCCTAGCCTTCTCCCCTTAACTCCTAACAGTCATCATCATGGTGACGCTCAGCCTCTCCC